GTGTACAAGCTTATTCATTGGTCTCAAGGTTGAAATGTGTTCGGGTATTTCATTTCCTGTCCCCAATTTCACCCCATCACTCCATACATGTATGTATGTACGTCGGTATGTACAAACAAAAGTAGTTTGCTGTGCTAAACCAAGGACAAAATATTTAAATATTTGCATTTTTGAAAGCCTTTCATACATAAATTCCATCATCAATTAAAATTCTATAATTTTTGTATATTTTCTTAGTAAATAAAAGACATGACAAATTTAATACTTATTTTTTGAATTTTATTGACAGACACTATGGCAAACAACGACATCAATTTTATATTGACAAATGTATAAGTTAGTGGGATTAATGAATATAGAGTTTATACAATGCCGTTTAGACACTTTGCAATAACAACTATCACATACAATGTATGCGTGTAAATACACAGTTCCATATATTTATACATATATACAAATATTAACTATGGCATTCTTTTTTATTTAAGTAACTACACATTTTATCGCGTATCATAAGTTTAAGTACTAAAACAATTAATCAATTCTTTAATCTTAAAACTAAAAAAATTAAGCATAATTAAATAAAATACACTTCACTTGTTTCAATTGTTTTTTTTTTCATTTGATATATTAAAATTTATACATACATACATACATATGTATGTATGTTAACATGTGTGGCCTGATATGTTATAATTGAAATCGGTTGCGATAGGYTTAATATAATTTGCGTGTGTACATTTGACTGCATGCATCTTTATTAAGTAGAATATTTTTTATTCTGCATATATATTTACAAACATATGTATATGTATATAATTATATATGGTTATATATTTTTGTTTATTTTCTGTACGTATGAATGTCAGTATAGAAACATTTCAATTGAATCAGCACAGACATAAGAATAACTATTTCTAAATATTCTGTTGATGAAATTGCCTTAAGCCTCAAATTAATTGCTACATATGTATGTACATACATGCTGTACATGTAATGCTTAGAGTCATCAGTCTGTGATAAAATAATAATAAAAGAAAATTAAGTAAATTGTGTCCACAATTGTACATTTGTCCGTTGTTACTTGCGAGTATATGGGTCAAAGCAAATGTATTTATTGTATTGTACATTTCATGTTTTGAAATTAATTGCAGCCATTCAATTAACCATCACAAATGATCACATATTCGATAAAAAGTTATTGAGAGTATAGCTTTGTGAAACACCGTCGTCTTAAGGGTATTGAGTGGCTTTTATTGGGGTGACTATTGACAGTAATCTTGTGTTCTTATTTATTGTGGAGAAATGCACACACGTCAAATGCATTTACATATACATATAAGTATTTATTTATGTGTATTGATGGCAAGCGTGAGAAAATGATTTTTGGAACAATATGACGTAATGGAAATAGCACATGAATAGCAGTGTACGCAATTAATTTCAAGCTAAATAGGATGTTTAAAAAATTATTAATAAAATATAAATTAATGATAAGTATACATAATTATTAATAGAACAATATTTAAAAAAAAATTAAAAATAAGTAAGATGTGTATAAGAGACAGCGGCTGGACTGTAAAAAAAAAATTAAGAGAAAA